TGACTGTTCTTTCAGGGATTTCTAAGTTACCAGAATATCATGCAAAGAGATTTAAGCAGTTGCTGTTGATCTCTGTTGTCATTGAAGACTGAATGGTTACATTTTAGGAAAGATACTAACTGAGATCTGAAGTCATCTTTATAATATTTGCAAATTGTATTTGTTCTTATTTGTATCCTAAAAATAAGTATTTTCTGTAAAATACAAACCAATGTGCCTAGATTAACTAATTACGGAAAAACAATCTAAATATCTTTAAAAACTTAAAGATATTTAGATATATACCTTGTTAATCAACCTCAATAAAGTGGAGAAGTATTGGAAAAAAAAATAGGAGCACTGATATGATTCTCTGGCAGGTAGGTCGCTGTCCCCTGAGGGGATGTACTAGGAAGTGTCTGTGAAAAGAGTTTTGTAGAGAACAGTGCCGGAAGTAGCTGATTTGAGACCATTCTGTCTTTGCTGTGCTCTCCTGACATGAGACTTCCTGTTCTCTTCAGCTGAAAGCTCCCCTGGAACCATCCTGAGAATTCTGGCTGGCCACTGACCAGGAGGTGCATCTTCTACAGTTTTATCTCTTCACCACCATTTCTTCACTCTCTTACACTGGAAACACCATAGAAGCCCTCTCTGCACGGGCTTATTCAATTTGTCTGTTTTGTTGCATTTCATCTCTAAGAAGACAAGAGGTTTATTCTTCACACAGCTTTGCTGGTGTCTGGCTGAGCTCTGGTGAGGGCCCTGTTGATAGATAGTCACATCATGTCGGATCATGTTGTGGTGAGAGTGCGTGTGGGAACAAGAGCTCCATCTTTTTTTTTTTTTTTTTTTTTCAGAATGGGGAATTGAACTCAGGCCCTTGCGCTTGCCAGGGAAGCACTTATTCTACTGAGCCATCTCCCCGGCCCCAAGAGCTCCATCTTGAGGCAGGAAGCTGTGGAGGCTGGAGTCCCAGAGTCCTCTGCTAAATACTCTGCTCTAGGACCCCCTCAACATCCCCACGTTGGGTAACAAGCTCCCACCACAGGAGACTTAGGGCCAAATTCAAAGCAAACAACTGCACTCCCCAATCACCAAGCTTGCCAAAATGAATCCCCCAAGAGCTCTTACGTCTCTTCCTTCTCCGTCTCCACCGCTGCCATCACCCAGCGCGCCGCTTTTGCTCATACTCGGGTGGCACCATGACCTGACGGTCTCCCTGCCACTGTCTGGCCTCTCCAACCTGCTCCTCACATTGCAGCTGGAATACCACTTCCAGGATGCACATCTGGCATGCCTGTCCCTTGCTCCGGGCCTCAAGGTGCTGGCGTTCAAGCCTGGGGAGAACCTGGCTCTGTCCCAGTCAGTCCCCAACCTATCACTGCTTTATGTTCCGGCCTCCCCATACCTTTTCAGAGGTCCCAAAGCACCAAGCTCTCTCAGACTTTCCCAGGGAAACACATCCCCAACCCAACACGGCAAATGCCTACAAAGTGGCCCCATTTCTTTTCAACAACTTGTATTTCATTTGCCATAATTGTCCATTAAATGTGTAAGTTGGAGAATAGCCATTTTGATCATTTGGATTCATGTGCAAATTCCATACACAAAACAAATACTCCCCATTAATCTCTAGTTTGATTCAGATGCACAGATGATAAATAGCTTTGCAATCAGAGGAATGCATGGACTTGGAGGAAACACAGAACAGCCTGAATGTGTAAAGAACTAAACATCCTCCTGGCTGGTTAAGTAACACTTAATTCCCAGAGCAACCTATGAGATGCGGAACATTGGCTCCATTAAAGTATTTCATCATTTTATAGATGAAATACTGAAGCTCAGAGAGTTTAGGCCAGTGCCTCAGAGAAAAAACAGGATTAGAACCCAGTACCCAAGTCTTAACCCCAATGTGTACTGCCTGTCAGACTCACCCACTGCTGGAGACTTCTGCTCCCTGTTGGTGCCCAAGAATGAGATTTTTACAACCACTCAGCAGCTTTGCAGGGTCCTCAACTTGAAAAACCTGTTAGCAGGGAGTCACCTCCCTTCTACCCAGTGTTGAGCAGAGTGACAAAGGCAATTGGGAGCTCAAGCAGGTTACTAAGCATGAGTGGGGCTTGACCCGCTGCTGCACCCCAGGAGGTTAGGTGCCCACAAGGTGAAAAGGAGACACTGGGGACCATCTCAACTGCAGATGGTGCCACAGGTCCTGCCCCCCACCCACACCCCAACTTTGAGTGCACAAGGGGACAGGTGGCATTGCTCAGGTCTGGGTGTGGCTGATGTGACAGGGGAAGGGAGCGTTAGCATGGAGACCCCAGGACACATTTAAAAAACCCCAGGATGGACTTTTAAAAAACCATGTTTTGAAAAAAAAAAAAACAACAACAAAACCTGGAGAAGTGATTCATGCCTGCACTTTATGTGGATGTGATAAAAGAGATAAATTACGCCTAATAGGAGAGACAGAGGGATGGACAGGTAGGTAGGAAGCTAGGTCCAAGCATGGCAGGATGACATCGAGATGCAAATACTTTGACATTTTCATGTTGGGAACTTTTCAAAATAGCATGTTAAGGTGAAAAAATGACACAGAGGAGAGGAGCTGAGCAGATTTTGAAATTGAAGATCATAAAGGCTGAGATAGGGTGGGAAAGGGGAGGAAGCTGGAAGGAAGCCAGGCCGGGCAGGTGGCCCCCACTCAGGTGCAGAGAAGCCCCTGAACTTGCCCAAATGCAAGGTTCTGTGGTGAGGTTTGGAGGCTCAGAGCCCGGCTCTGGAGCTGAATAGACTTAACTCACCTCCCAGTCCAGTTAGTGTGTGACAGGACTCTGAGAGGACATCACCTCTCTCAGTCTTGCTTTTCTTGTCAAAGAAAGAGGGAGAGGATGGAGGGAAAGGAGCCAAACTAGCCCTGCCCACCCTCCCTTCTTCCAGAGCAGCTTCCTGTTTGCCAGCTATCTGGATGGGGCTCCATATAACTTTTTTTTTTTTTTTAAATAAATCTCCAAGTGCTTAGAGACAAGGACACCTCTGGGCACTGCAGCCCAACCCTCAGCCTCCCTCCACTGCAACCCAGCTGCTCCCAAGGCAGGAACTTTTTAAGATCTCCACTCCAGTGTTCTTTGTTCACACAATGAATTAAAAACCAAAGCACTTCCTTCAAAAATAGTTTATTCCACACATTTCCTGGCAGGCTTTCTGCCCACCATTCCAGGGGAGTAACTCTTTGTGGCCTTGTTTTTCTTCCAAAGCCAAGAGGACCTTCCTGAAAGGAATGCTTCCTTTCCAAAGCAGCATCAGTCTCCATCCATCCCAGGCCCTGGGTGGGGCACAGGAGAATTCAGCTTTCTCTCGCTCCACCATCATTTGCCAGAACTGTCACCGGCCACTGGCAACTGGACATCCTCAAGCATCCTGGCTCGTGGAGGCTTCTCTGGGCAGCCTTGTCAGTGTCCCTTTCTGTCTGGGATAATGATCAGTGTCCTCATTCGCTGGGTGGTGCCAACACCCCAGGACCCCATCATGGACAAGATGGGAGGGACCAAAGTGTCTGAGGCCTTGGATACCGTATATTACCAAGTAAAGGGGGTGTATTGCAAAGTCCTCCCTGAGCACATCACTGTGGGCTTTACGGTCCAGTCCTGGTCACCATGGCAACATCCCTCGGTGCTGGATCCCACCAAGGCAATAAGTAAGGAAGCGAGAGGGACTCAGGAGGCCCTCCAAGGGGAAGCCAGGGGCCACTGCTGGGCTGCAGGTCTGGGAAGCCTTCCTCTATGTCTGCACCCCCAACTCATACAGGCACCAAGTGCAGCCTGGCTGGGTGCCGATCCTTGTTCTCCTTAGAGGACAGACACTGGCCAGGCACTGGGAGCCATGAGAGACCCATGCAAATGCCCTGCTCTGTGGCATCTCTTCATTTTGCTTCCTTTCTTTCCCAAATGGAGAATTTGCTAGTGAGGAAGAGGCACAACCCAACAATAGGATGGTCTGTGTGCCTCACTAGGGTCGCTTGGAGTATAAACTACCAACTTAGTCTCTTAAAAACAATTTAGGTGATTAGGCAGTATTGAAGCTAGCCTCGTACAAAAATAGGTTTTCTCTAGTCTGGTCTGTGGTTTTTCCTTGTTTGTTCTGCTAAAATAGACAACACGCTTAAATCAAGTGCTGGTCTTGGAATAAAACATAAAAGATTCTAAAACATAACATAAAACCAGCTAACAACCACCTGGACCCTACACTAGGCACTGAAGAGCGCAAGGATTTCAGGCTGGTCTGGTTCAGTTTGATTCACTGGTACAGCTAGAACACTGTCTGAAGAGATAAATAGAACTTCTCAGAGTGGCAGGGAGTTGACTCCTGCTTGACAGGGGCACTTTGAGTCTTTTATTGACAAGGAGTTGGCTGGGGACCAGTAGCTCCACGCACAGTGGAGTGGTTGCCCAGGACTAGTGTGTTGTTGTTGTTTTAAAGTAAGTCCCAAGATCTGGTGGGGGTCTGTGGTGGGTCAGTGGGTCATGTGGCTTCTCTTGCTCGTGGACCTGGGAACAGCTGGGTGCAACTCAGGTGGAGGCCGGGCTGTCCATGGTGGACAGCAGCTGAACCACCTGGGCCCGCTCAGCTGGGCTAATGAGCTGGCTCAGGTACACGGTGCAGTCCATGGCCACATCTGGGTTTTCCTGGACCAGACTGTTGGGGAAGAAGAGAACGGCAGGAGTTACTCTTGCCTTTTACCCTGGTGGCCGCTGGGTGGCACAGTGACCCTCCCAGGGTGGGCTAGAACTCTGAGCTCCTTTCCTGCAGTGGTCACCAAGGGTGAGGCAATCTTATGAGGCAGGAGGGACTACTTCCTGGGAGTCACAAAGCTTCTCAGTAGCACCCTCCTTGCCGTCACTGTCTGCGTGACGGGCCCTGACTTGCTTGAACCTCAGCTTCATGTCCCGGACAGGGTCCAGGAGCCCCACTGCTGCTTCTCAGGGAACCCCATTCAAGGGGGAGGAGTCTCTCAGGAAAGACTGCCCAGGGGATGAGATATGGGCTCTCCAATCACGCAGGCTCCAACTGAGACTTGAGACCCATCACCATATAAAACCCGGCAAGGACCCCTCCCCCCACCTCCCTGTGGCGGCCCAGGACTCTGTGCCTCACCTGGGCCATTGTGCAGGACAGGGCTGAGGGGTGGTATGCTGGGGAGTGCTCTTTTCACTAAGGCTGCCCGGCGCAAGGCTGTGGACCTCAGCACAGAGGGCACCATAACCAGTGAGGACCCTAGGGACTGCTCTAGGGTGGGGTGGGACAGCGGGAGACCAGGCCAGGCTGGGTACTGCCAGTCACTCAAGGACAGGGCGGGACACTCACCCGCGGATGGTCTTGAGGACCGCATCGCGCTTCAAGTACTTGATGTTCTCCCAAATGGCCGAGTGCTGGCTGTCACCCCCCTGCCACTGCTGCTCCAGCCACTGCACCACCACTTGGTTATTGTCCCACAGGTAGGCCTGGGGAGGGGGAGCATGGGCTGCTCAGACTGGGACTCTACTATAGGACAGGTCGCCGGCAGCCCCCTCCCCCCACACCCCGGGCCTACCTTCACGGCGCCCTCGGTCTCCACGAACCAGCGGCGCAGCATGGACTGCAGGTGCTCGTGGCTCAGCTCGCCGCTGGCCCGGAGGATCTCCCGCTTCACCAGATCCTCCAGGAGGAGCCGGCGCAGACGCCAGTACAGGAAGGTACGTGATGTCCTCCACTCCAGCACATCCTGCATGTATGGGAGCCAGGCCTGAGCCCTGGACTCAGGCTCTGCAACATCCCAGTGCACGGGCCAGGAGGGGTCTGGGGAGGCTGAGGAAAGCACGAAAGCACAGCCACACTCTGCCAGCACTGCGGTACTGCCTCCACCACTCGGACCAGCTTGGGTCATGCGGGGCTGAAGCCAACTACAAAGGACACCTGGGCAGGGCCGACGGGGAACGGGGGGGTACCCTGGGGTACAGGGGTCCTCAAACCTTCCCCAGATCTGAACTGGCTCAGCAGTCGTAAACACATCAGGCCAGTGGTTCCCAAAATGTGGCCTATGGGACCTTTGAAGGATGTGGAAAAATAGTAGCTCCCTGCCCCCCATTCAGGTGTCACATTCCGGTGACTCTGGTGCACCATGTGAACTTGGAGAAGTTTTTAAAACTTCCCAAGGCATCTTCAGGTCAGCCAACTTTAAACCCTGGAACCCCAGTCTCCTTGGGGTGTAGGAATCGGGACCTCAGCCGGGCACTTCACATCCCCACGCCCTTACACAGATGGTGCCCTTCTCCAGCATCCGGCCGGGCGTGTCGTGCAGCTCGGCAAACTGCACCGCCACCTGGTGGTAGATGGGGAGGAGCAGCTCCTCGCGGGCCTTCAGCTGGGCCTCCAGGTCCTTGCGATCTTTGTCTGACAGTTGGGACATCCCTGGGGCAGTGGGGGGAGACAGGCCAGTCAGGACATTCCAGGAGAACAGGGAAGAAAGTCACTGGAAGGTGGGGTGGAGGATTTTTCTTTGAGAGGGCACAAAAATGCTTTCAGGACAAGCCTTGCCCCCTGAGACCACCCCTAAAGCAGCTTGCGGGTGCTGTCTCAGAAATGCATTCACAAGCACAAGCCAGCATTCTCCAGGCAGTTTTGGATGGACTTCTTCCATCAAGCCCACTGCGCTTCACACCCAACCACTGGTTATTATTTTAACACATATTGCAAAATACAGTGAGGGGATATTATAACAACTATGCTGATTTGATAACTCAGATGCACTAGATTCCCTGAAACACATATCGTCAGAGCTCACTCACGAGGAAACAGATTATGGCAATAGTCCTGTATGTAAGCTGGTGGTTAGAAAGCTCCCATCAAAGATTCAAAGAAATACTACCAGCTCTACATAAAAGCAGAAAATTAAGAGTAGACCTCCCAAATTACCTATGTCAGCTTTTCCCTGATGCCAAACCAAAGAAATTACACACACAGACACACACACACACACACACACACACACACACACAGAGTAATACATTTTGTGATCAGGACAGTCATAAACACATTGCCACAATGTGGACACCTAAGAGGGACATCTGAAGAGAACTGCGCCTACAGACTACGCATGACACATACCTCGCATCTGACTGGAAACTCTAAAGGGATGGGCCCAAAATGCTTCAGTTTTTACGCTTTGTGTGTGCCAAGAAATACATTTCTATGGCATTACAGGTTGAACAGCCCTAATCCAAAAATCTGAACTCCGAAGTCTGAAAATCATGAAAACATGGTGCCACGAGAGGAAAATGCCACGCTGACCTTGCAGAATGGCAATCACAGTCAGAAAGCAGCTGCTCCGAAACACCGTACGAGCCAGCTATAGTGCCTGTAACTCTAGCTGCCTTGGAGGCTGAGGCAAGAGGGCCACAAGTTCAAAATCAGACTGCGCAACTTCGTGAAACCAGGTCTCAAAAAAAAAATTTAAAAAAGGCTGGGATAGAGAGTGGAGTGGAAGAGAACTTAAAATTCGCGAGGCTCTGGGGTGTCTTAAAAATGTGCATAAAATTACGTTTATGCGGTGTGCAGGTGCAGGCAACACATAACAGTTTTCACATTGATGAAGATAAGAGCACCTCTGGACAGAAGGGGGATGAGCCCTGCCTGTCTGCTTTGTGAAGGGGGGACGTCCGTCTGTCCTCATGCTTCGTTGTATCAGCACCAGCACTAGCTTAAAATCTACTAAAAAAATTGTGTCGTGTTTCAGCTTTTCTAACAAATAATATACCACAATAAAAGGATGTCCTGGGTCTTCCGCCCTGAGATGTCCCACTGAGGGTGGAAGGTCTTTGGTCCCATTTTCAGACAAGGCATACCCGACCTGCTCACCTGTATTTTTTACTATTAAGAAAAGATTCTGTTGAAAACGTGAATTTTTTTTTTTTTTTTAAATCTCACAGCGAGGGCAGCTGTGTTTGGCATCTCTCCACCCTATTTATTCTTCTTCTTGTTATTATTTTATTTATCTGGTCCAGTATTTCACTACACAACTCAGACTCGTAGTGATCCTCCTGTTTCAGCCTCCCCAGTTCTGGGATTACAGGCATGCACTACCACGCCCAGTCTCTGTGGCCAGCTCACTGGGCCCAGGGTAGGCCCAGCATGGCATGTGGTACCAGGGATTGAACCCCAGTCGCTGAGCTTGCCTAGGCAGGAGCTTAGACCGCTGAGATATCTCCAAGGCCCTCTCCACTTCATTTTCAAGGCACTAGACACTGCCCACGACACAGCCTCGGGAGCCTCTTACCAAGCTGTTCCACGAGATTCTTGGCTGCGGGGTCGATCCTTCTCAGGGTCTTTACCAGCTCCTTCTTTCGGAACTTAATCTCCACCGTTCCCTCCGGCTCCAGCACACCGCCCCTAAGAAGAGGACAGACTGCATGGGGCACAGCACAGAGAAAGGGACGGCAAGTGGCAGTGGCAGAAGTGGGCGGGGGAGCTCCATGGTCTGCGTGTGGGCTCTCAGTCCCCGCTGACCTGCGGGTCCACTCACCAAAGTCCCTTCCTCTCTGGGCCTCTGTTTCTAAACCCACAGGAGGAAAGACTGAGCTAACTTTCTTTTTGGCAGAACTGGCGATTGAACTCAGGCCCTTGTGCTTGCCAGGCAAGCGCTTATTCTACTGAGCCATCTCCCAGGCCCCTGATCTAACTTTCAAACTAATGGTTTCTGGACTCTGAAGAGCTCTTTGGATTTTACAAACATTTGTTTTTCTCCATGATAACCTAACTTTCCTACTCTGTCCATAGGACAGAAACCTTTTGGGCTTTCCTAATTTCTGCTCCCATAGTCAGGAACTTGGTTTGCAGTTTGCAGTTCCTTAAAGCCCAGCACAGTCCCATATGAATGGCCCTCTCAGTCCAACCTTCTAACTGTCCTTCAGCCTTTCCTGCCCCCTTCTTTTGACTGTTTGGAAGCTCCATGTGACTCTAAGTTTCCTAGTGGCCCGAGAGAAAAGATAACAACAACCTTAGCTGAGGTTTCTCAGGATCTTCAGTCTTCTGGGAGGACTAGACTCAGCTGGCCCGTGAGGGTCAGGACCACGAAGGCAGAACAGGCCTGGCTCATCTGCCCCCGGGCCACAATGCCCAACAAGATGCCAAACACACAGTAAGTGTCTACTGAGTAGAGAATGAAGGACACGATGGACACAGGCACAGAGAGCCGAAGTGTTGGGCAGAACACCCCTGGGGCTGTCACACCCGAAGCTCACAGCACAGTGTTCACTGAGAAGGCGCAATCACTGTGCCGCAGGCCTTGCGGGCATCTTCCCTTCTAGAAGAGCACCCAGGATACTTTCCCCCTAAAGGAAGTGCCAAGGGCGCTCTCCCTCAAAGAAGCAGCATTCAGGTGAAGACCCAGGTCAGAGTTAGATTTCAGATTTAGGAACAGATTAAATATGAAGGCATTCATCCCGCCTTCTCTTCAGCTGATATTTCCTGACAATAGCCAGCACTGTGCTAGGCCCTAGGATACAGACAACACTCGGGGACTGGCGATGTCAGGGACTGGGTAGAGTAGCTTGCCTACCATGGGATTGCAGCCCTAGAACCACCACCAAGAGAAGAGACACACAGCACGTCACACTTTCTTTCCCATCCTGGTCCCCTGGGAGCACAGGCGCTTTTGGCCCCTGCTGCCCCTTTTTATTTGGGCAGGACTGTGGACTGAATCCAGGGGATTCGTCATACTACTGTGTTTGCCTGAAAATGAGACCTAGCTAGAAAATTATCAGCTTTGAAAACTAGAGATACAAAATGCCAGCTGTAGGCCAGGGAGATAGCTCAGCAGCATAAGTGTCTGCTTGGCAAACACAAGGTTCTGAGTTTGATCCCTGGTACTGCAAAATGCCAGCCCCAATCACATCACCTCAGCTGCCACTACAGAGTAGCCACAGAGCAAGAGAATAGTAAGGTATGATTTTCCTTACCACAAGTGGTTATTTTTTTGGTTAGGTCCTTCACTGAGGGAAACACGGTGGGTGGGCAAGTGTTCTCCCACTGAGCTCCACCCTCAACATTTTTTTTTTTTTTTTGGCAGTACCAGGGATTGAACTCAGGACCCTGCACTTGCCAAGCAAGAGCTTATTCTACTGAGCTATCTCCCTGGCCCCTGGTCCCTGACCCTTTATAGTTTTCTTTTGAGGTAAGCTCACATTAAGTTGACCAAGCTGACCTTGAACTCAAGATCCTCAAGCCTTGGGTGCTGAGTAGACTGGCTGCTCTTTATTTATTTTTTGATTAGATTTTTTTGTCTGCCTGTGTGGTCCTAGGGCTCAAATCCAGGGAACATTGAGCTGTATCACCACTGCTTTTCATTTTTTAATTTTGAGTGAGGGTCTTACTAAGTTGCCCAGTCTAGTCTCAAACTTGGAACCCTCCAACTGCGGATTCCCAAGTAGCTGGGGTCCCGGGAGTGTGCCACTATGAGTAACATTTTCTAGAGTGGGGGAGGGTGCTCATACAGGATCTTGCTATGTTGCTCAGGATGCTTTAAATTCATGGTCCTCTTGCCCCAGCCTCCTCGGGGCTAGACATACCCATTGTGCCTCATTGATCTTTTCTATTGCAAATTCTTGCAATAGAAAGAGGTGAGTATACATTATGGAAGAAGATACAGTTCCTCCACCACTTCCTGGCACCAGCCTCTAGCTCTGCTGAGAAAATCCTATTACAAAGGAGGCTCCTGTCCTTTAGGAAATGACAGCAGCAGTCCCCGTGGTCCCCAGCCAGGGGCCCGGGGCAATGAGTGTAGCGACACACCCACCTGCTCTCTTTGTCTGCATACATCTCTATGCACAGGGGGTTGATGGTGGTGTCCAGGACCACCCAAGACCCCCCACGGAGCTCTGCATAGGGTGGGAGGTAGATCAGGATGGGCTGCTTGTACTGCCGGAGGCCGTCCACGATGTAGGACCCAAATTTCAGCACCTGGTCATACATGTCTGCAAGGCAAGACAGCAGTCCGGTAAGGGGACCCTAGGTCCTCATCTGTCCACACAAAAAACCACAGCCACAGTTGTCTCTGGGAGACTTGGACAGCACCGGGGACTGACTCAGGTGCAGACTGCTCCCTAAGTGGCCGTGGGACCTTGGACAGGTCACTCACCTGGCATAGGCCAATGTCTTCATTTGTAAAGGGAGGCACAGGAAGTGACCCACTTCTAAGATCCCATCCACCTCGGATTTTGTGGCCTCCCTCATGACTGTCTCCATCCTCCTGTGTGTTTCAGGCATACACACCCCTCTCTGACCAGGACCTGGGCCCTTCTCCCTGGCTGTGGGTGGCATGGCCCTCATCTCCCACCAAGACCCATCCTCCAAGTGCCTGGGCCCCCCATATGACACAACGCAGTGACCTCATCAACTGTGAGGGCGCTGTGTGCTGGGGCTCAGCACACTGGGTCCTCTCAGAGCCCTCTGAGGTTGTCTCAGCCTCATCCCCTTTTTCTTACCCCCTTTCAAGAATGATGGAAACTGGGGCTCAGAATGGTCAGCCTGCCAGCAAGGGTGCACCACAGAGCTGCCCACCCAGTTCCCTGGGGAGCCTCTGAGTTGCCACTCAGCACGTGACCTCCTGGAGGTCACACGGCTCCAATGCTCTGTCCCTCATCCACAGTATGAGGTGGTGTCACTAGAATGGCTTCTACCCCTCAGGGTGTAGAGAGGCCCAACCTCAACAACAAGGGGACAATGGGAGGGAGCCAAACACCGGCACCAGCACGCAGGGGGACCCAGACAGAATCGGCCTCACCTTTCATGCCCCCAGAGAACCCCCGCCAGTTGGCAAAGATCATCAGGGGCAGCTTCTCCCGGTTGAAGTCCTTGATGGCCTGGGCCGTCTTGTAGGCTGAGTCGGGGAACCACACCTGGCCTGCCTGCTGGATTATCTGTAACACAGAACTTCCTGGATCAGACAGCAGTGCCAGATCTGGGGACAGAGCCACAGCCTCACCCCGAAGGGCATGCCAGGTGAGCCCTTCTGGCACCAACACCAGAGCCAGGCTCCAAATAAGGGTCTGAAACTCATTGTTTGGGCCCTGAGGGACCCTCTCCCTGAAGTCCAGGGAGGGTCCCTCTCCCCAACTGAGAAGGCACCAAGCTACTCAAGGCCAAAGTGGGCTTTTGCAAAGCCTTCCCCAGGACTCACTACCAATCTCTCCTCAATTCCCAGGGTGGGTGGTGGGCAGTGGCCAGTCACAGAAACAGCAGCAAGGTGGGAGGCAGGAGGGGTTGTAGACCTTTATTACCCCTCAGGAAGCAGCTAGTACAGAATATTATCTGTCCAACAGGGGGAGCTAGAGAGACAGGCCGCTCCTGCCAGGGCCTAGGTCCTGCTTCTCTAACAAGTGGCTGGGGGAAGGGATGCGTCACCGGCCAGGACCCTTCCTGTTGACAGAACAGCTAACCCAGCAGCTAGGGTTCCCAGTGCCTCACCTTGGCCTCAGAATCCAGGTTCGCAGGGTCAGCAGGGATCGCCACCTCCACGGTCCGAGTTTCCGTGGCAATCACGCCCACAGGAATGCCCCCCAGCCTGGAAGATGAGGACATAGGAGCTGGGCAATGGGAGGCGCCCAATGCATTGTGGGGACGGCAGGGTCTGTCCAGCCAAGGTTGCAAGCAGCGCTGGGTGTGGGGCTGAGGGTGTGTGGAGGAGAACCCTGCTCTGGCAGTTACTTTACCGAAAGGCAAAAGAAATGCTCCCAAGTAACAAGAACCTCCTAAGTTTGGCAGAGCTCTGATGCCCCTGCAGAGGAGGGGCAGAGCGGTACAGTGGCTGAAGCAGAAGAGCCAGCAGGACTTCCCATGCGGAAGGCGCTAGTCTCCATCCGCACCGATCAAAATGTAGCAGTGAGCTGCAAACACTACTGAGGGCTGAGCTATAGCCAGTCAATGCCAGATGCTGGATACGTTGTCCTCTTTCCCTTAAACTGCTTTTTATTTATCTATTAATTTTTCAGTGCTGTGGATGGAACCTAGAGCCTCACCCAGGTTGGGCAAGTGCTCTGTCACTGAGCCTCCCCACCCCTAGATTTCAATTCCGATCACCACACAGGTCCTGCAGTTACCATGCTGCGCAGTACAGTCACAGACAAGTCACATGTGGAAAGGCCAAGAGATGCTGAGCCTGATGGAGACTCAGCTCAGCAGACAATGTGACATCAGTAGTTGTCACCACATCCTGCTGGCCAGCTCCCTGTTGTGCATGCCACCC